TTATATTAATTTTTTTTTCACGGGTTATTGAGTCAATAGCTATCGGTAATCATGACAGCATTTAGCCGTCTCCATTAATTAAAGCATTTAATTAAGACCATATTAAGTACAACGTCCTTATTAAGACCATATAAAATTTCCATATTAAAAATTTATTAAAACCTAATTAAATTCTATAAATTAATAAGGCTCAATAAAGTCATATTACAGTTAATAAATTGTTAATATAAACAAATTAAAAGGTGAAAGACCTTTGCTCTGTTTATAACAGCACATATAAAGTTTTATATGGATTCTTTATTAAATTTTTATAAAGAATTTATAAAACTTTTATTAAATTCCTTATTTGGAACATATTAATATTTTTTTCACGGGTCATTGGTATTCAAAACGTAATAAATACTTGTAACGTTGAATCAATTGAGAACCGGGACTAGACATTTTGGCGTCCGAAGGCAAAGAAAAAAGTGCGCCCTCTAGTAACAAAAATACTTCTTTTACGGTATATAAAATATAATGGGTAATTATTTAGAATACGGGCTCCACCTCAAATATGGCTAAAATTAGGCTCATTCGACGCGTTTTGACACGAAACGAAAGAATCTGGTAAAAAATGCGGCGGTCTGCTTCGCGAAACGAGATATTAATCGTTAAAGTTGACGACACGGTCCCGATTGACCGTGGCCCCCCTCCCCGCACCCACCCCGCCGGTAGGAAGCGTGGACCGTGGTCAATCGGGACCGTGGGCAATTGCAACGTGGTCAATCGGGACCGTGGGCAATTGCAACGTGGCCAATCAGGACCGTGTGTCAATTGCAACGTGGTCAATCGGGACCGTAGTCAATTGCAACGTGGTCAATCGGGACCGTGGTCAATTGCAACGTGGTCATACACAACGTGGTCGATATTAACGTGGTCAATCGGGACTGTGGTCAATATTAGAGTCCCTCCCAGGCAGCACACATATCTAAAAGACAACATAAAGACGTCGTTAAGACGTCTTTAGACTTAAAAACGTCTTAAAGCTGTCTTTTAGACATGGTGTGCTGCCTGGGCTGTAGAAGAGTCTGGCAAGGGTTGACGCAAAATGGCGTCTGGTCTGTTCGTTATCGCTGCATTACTGCACTAGTGCAGTTAGTTAATTGCACTAGTGCAGTAATGCAGCGATAACGAACAGACCAAAGGTAACCAAATAATAATAATAATAATCCCGCGTTCAGAGTACAAATTCGAGACACCTTATTGGTTCCGCCATTTTGCGTCAAACCAATCAAACGGAGAATATTGGGAACGGGCATGATGGCCAATATGGCGGAACTGAGCCGGCTCAAGATCCTTGCACAATGCTAGGCGATAGCGATAGGAACAGGGAATAACCACAGGTAATAGATTTCAACCTATTAGAAACCGTGTATTAATGCATGTGCATTCTGATAGGTTGAAATCTATTACCTGCGGTTAAGCCTATCACACAATAGGAAAGCACAGGGAATAGGAATAGGGAATAACACAGGCAACAGAAATAACTAAATTCCAACTTACCAGAAACCGTGCATCGACGCACAATGGAATATGGAATAGGCAATAGGAATAGAATATCCGACGCGTTGGATTTCTGTTCCCTATTCCCTGTGCCTGATCTACCTGACCAATCACAGTGGAGACTGGGACAGACACGTGGTTTTAAAATGCAGATGATTGGACAGCACGCCTATTGCCAACGAACCATTGTGTCTTGGCATTACATAGATTTCTATTCCCTATTTCTATTCCCTATTCCTATTGCCTGTGCTTTCCTATTGTGTGATAGGCTTTATTCTCTGTTCCTATCGCTATCGCCTAGCATTGTGCCTTAGAACATATATGATATGGAAGAGGAATAGGGAATTGAAATGTGTCCGGAGGAAGTGAGAAAGAAAATCGTAGTGCCTCTCTCTCGTGAGTTACTGCTCGAAAGTACGCATGCGCGCCATTTCAATGTATGCACTCACACACACACCGATGCTTGTGTGACAGCAAATGGCGCGCATGCGCACTTTCGAGTAATTGCTCACAAGAGAGAGGCTTATATAGTCAAAGAGAGAGGCCACTACGATTTTTCTTTCTCACTTCCTCCGGACATATTTTTCTCTCGAAAACAATAGGCATTCCTCTTCCATATCATATATGTTCTAAGCATTGTGCAAGGACCTTGAGCCGGCTCAGTTCCGCCATATTGGCCATCATGCCCGTTACCAATTTCTTGCCAGACTCTTACTACAGGGACTCTAGTCAATATTAACGTGGCCAAACGGGTGCCACTCTTCCTAACCTGTCGAGTCGTCAACTTTAACGATTAATATCTCGTTTCGCGAAGCAGACCGCCGCATTTTTTTGCCAGTTCTTTCGTTTCGAGTCAAAACGCATCGAATGAGCCTAATTTTATCCATATTTGAGGTGGAGCCCGTATTCTAAATAATTACCATATAATGAGGATAAATTTACTTAGTTTTATTCGATATATTAATATTGAACGCGGCGTCACGGTGCACAACTTAAGTCGGTGACCCCGCTCGATCGCGTCCCTACAAATCTTCACACGTGCCACGTCCGCCAAATCCTAGTCCCGGCTCTAGATAAATTAGATACACGTAATCTCGTCTGTGTGATGCTAAATTTAATGATTATGAATTCCAAACGTTAGTTTTAAAAACGTTTCATTGCAATTATAATCGTATGCCAACACTTTTATCTATAAATTACCTTAATCCAAAATCACGAATTATATCAGAAGACAAATCTTGCTACCATGTGAACACGCGGACTCTTCCCTGCTTTTCACCCAAGTGCGCGCTTGGAATAGAAGGCGGGATGGCCGCAGTGTGCCCAGCCGTGAACGTTAGCACGGACGGTGCCGCGGCGGTGGGGATGGAGTGGGGATAGTCGGTCTGCGCGCGCACGCTCGCACACAAGCAACACGTCGTAAAAACGTGTGCGCTCGACGGTTCGGCTCATGGACGTAAGAATATATGGACGGAGTGTAAGTTAGCGGTGGCCGAGCCAGAGCAGTGAGGGGAAAAGTAGTCATCACATATGGCGGCGACGCTACCACGAGGCAGTGCTGTCCGAGCGACCGTGTCTGTGCGCACACGGATACGGTCGCTCGCTTGTGTGCGTCATCCCCTCCCTATGCGACCGTGCGATCTCTGCTAGTCATCACATATGGCCGCCACCCAATTTCCCCTCACCGCGCTCGCTTGGGTCCCCTCGTCATAAATCCTACATTACGCTCCGTCCATATATTCTTACGTCCATGGTTCGGCTAAACCACGCCTACTTTTGCTTTGCGACGGCTATAGATTCCCAGGGCTATCAACCGTGAAAAGTAAAAAACATTTAGCGTTGGCAAGTTGGGTATGCTGCATCTATCGTCCTTGTTTCACGCATTTCTTCGAGCGTCTTAGTTTCTCTTTCTATCTTTGTACACGCGATGGGAAAAGGGAAAAAGTACCGGACCGGTGAAATATCTCGACAAATATGGGAGATACGGAAAAGTCTTTCAAACAAAAGTTATACGGTTTTAAAAGGGCTACATAATGGTAAAATAAATTTTCAAAAAAAATTAATTTTTTATGGTTATGTAGAGGTCGCCGTCATTTTTTTAAATGGAAATCTCTATTGTTTATTATACTATCTTATTCTACTAATTAATATGAACAACTATTGTCTAAAAATTTTTTTCAATTGCCTAATACTTTTTGAGATACTCAAAAGAAAATTTATAACTTTTTCAATGTTTACCTTATAATCTCTCGATAACTGTTTGTCGGAGGGAAAAGTAGTACATCAGGACTTTTTTACTTGATTTAGTCTCAGGAATATGCTGTTGCAATGGTGTTTCAATTATTGAAAAATTTTGTGTTACAATACAAAACGGCGGCCGTACGCGGTGCGCGCGCCTCTTAGTTCCCCTCGACGTTCCCCCTCCAGACCGGCGGAGTGACGGAGACAGCACTTACCTCCATATCGTTCTGTCCTTTAGAAGATGCGGACAATTCCACTCACGGATCGCTGGGTCTATATATATAAGTCTATGAGCACACCATGCATGGAGGTATGAAATAACAGGAGGGAGCGTAAAGCCTTCTAGATAGGGGGGGTAACAACGCCAAATGTGATTGGTTGGCCACAGTAATATGACGCTTTGTACTTTATTGATGCACTCTCTGCACCATCTTGCATTATAATACTATGTGCATCTTCTCTTTTCCTCTTATTAACCTAACATAACTTAACTAAACCAAGTAAGAAACACGTTTCGCGAATACATCGGATTTCGAAGTTATAAAATATTAAACAAAATGCCCATGCATTGCAGTGCAATAGGTTGCAAAAGCACCATAAATATTAATAAAGAAAAAGTTGCAGACATAGAGTTAGGAACAATAAAAAAAATAACATTCCACGTGTAAGTACAGTTTATCTTGCGTACTTAAATATTAGCGTAAGTTACATAAAATGTTAAATCTTTATTCCGTTCCTGTTACCGTACGTTATAATACCAAATAGATAAAAAATCAAAAGTAAATATATCGATATTATAACCATATTGTTCATTTGATTCGTGCAATTGCTACTAAATATATACAGATTCGTTTACAATATATCATGTATAAAAATGCAAGTATAAAATGCAAAATACAGATCGTAGTAAGAGCGATCGACATCACTTTAATAAGATAACATTATTTAAAGGCCAATAAGTGACTTATTTTTTATTTTGTGTTTGTGTATTTGGGCGCGTTCCGTTTCACGCATGATGCGCATGATGCATCATTTATCTTTCTTTAACATTTGCCGAATAACAAGGATAAACGATGCATCATGCGCATCATGCGTGAAACGGAACGTACCC